AGGATATTTTACACATTTCTTTGATCTTTAGCTTACCTCACCCCGAAAGCCATAGGTAGAAATACTAGCTAAATCCTCAAAGGACTGCAGTTTACTTGTAGTGAACCTCTCACACACAATGTCCAGATCTTCCTTCTAGAAGATACCAAAAAATAAGTAAATAATTATGCTACTCATTTTTTCCAATTTTTAAATTTCCCTTTTCTTGACTGAATCCAAGAAGAAACCCCTTTCAGGAGAGGAGTTTTGAAATCAGCGATAACTTCCTCACGCGGCATCAGAAATGCCACACTATCCCGGTGTACCTTCTCTCTCACGAGTCACATCTCTCTGCATTTGCTGGTTCTGCCTCATCTCCGTTCTCCGTCAGTGGAGCAACCCAGGACTCCAGCCTTGGACCTCTTTACTGTCTACATTCACTCTCTTATTTATTTATTTGACAGACAGAGATCACAAGTAGGCAGAGAGGCAGGCAGAGAGAGAGAGGGAGAAGCAGGCTCCCTGTTGAGCAGAGAGCCCGATGTGGGGCTTGATCCCAGGACCCTGAGTTCATGACCCGAGCCAAAGGCAGCGGCTTTAGCCCACTGAGCCACCCAGGTGCCTCTACACTCACTCTCTTGATGAGTTAGTTCTCCCAGCCACATGAATTTATAAAAATCATTATTATTAGAAAACTTCTTTATTAAAAATCTATAGAAGCATTTAATTATAGTGAAGTATACATAACAAACTTTACCACTTTTAATGTACAGTTCTGTGGCCATAAATACATTTGCACAGTGTGCAACATCACCACTATCCATCTCCAGAACTCTTTCATCCTTCCAAGCTGAAACTCGGTCCCCATTAAATGATAATTCTTCATCCACCCCTTCCCCAAACACCTTGCAACCACCATTCTACCTTCTATGAATGGGACTACTCTAGGAACCTCCTAGGCGAGGAATCGTACAGTATTTGTCTTTTTGCGAATGGTGTATTTTACTTAATGTGATGTCTTCAAGGTTCATGCATATTGCAACCTGTGTCTGAATTTCAATCCTCTTTAGGCTGAATAATATTCCATTTTGTGTATACGTCACATTTTTAAATCTACTCATCTACAGAACCCTGGGTTGCTTCCAGCTTTTGACTATTGTAAATATGCTGCGATGAACATGGGGGGACAAATGTCTTCAAGACCTTGCTTTCAATTCTTTGGAGTATATACTCACAAGTTCTGCTGAACTGCACGGTAATTCAGTTTAATTTTTTCAAGAATCACCATACTATTTTCCACATTGGCTACACAATTTACATTCCCACCAGCAAATGCACAAGGGTTCTAATTTTTCTGTATTCTTTATAACACTTGTTATTTTATTTTACTGTTTTTGTAATAGCCATCCTAATAGGTGTCAAATGGTAGGTCGTTGCTTTTATTCATATTTCCTTAATGATCTGTGACATTCAGCACCTTTTCATGGGAGTCTCATGGTTTTTACTACCATCAAAATGCAATACACTAAATTTTTATCTCCAGCCCAAACCTCTATGCTGCCCTCCAGACTCACAGGCTAACTCAAATAAGAGCCGTCTCAAGGTTACCATGCCCTCAAATGATTTTCTGATATGCCCCCAAATGTGTTTCTTCCATAGGCTTTCCCATCACTAAGTGGCAACTCTTCCATTTGCACGGGCCAAACCCTTGAAATCATTCTGGACTCCTCTTTCTCTTACACCACGCATCAGCAAATTCTGAGAGCTCTGTTTTTGTAATCAATGCAGAATCTCACTGTTTCTTGCTTCGCTACTGCAACTAAACTAGTCCAAGGCATGGTCACCCCTCTCCTGGATGGCTCCAAGAGCCCTCTCACTGCCTCTGTCCTGTCCTGCTACAGTCTGTTTTCCATATTCTAGACAAATGGGTTCCTATAAACCTCACCAAACCATGTCACCTCTTTGCTCAAAACCCTTTAATAGTATCCTACCCTATTCAGAGTAAAAGCCAAAGATTTTAGAATGGCCCATAAGGTCCTACGTAACTCATCTTCTGTTATTCTTCTATTCCCTCACTCTGTTAGAGACACATTGGCTCCCTGCTGGTCCTTAAGGAAGTCAAGCGGGCTTCCATTTCATGGTCTTTGCATGTTCTGTCTGCCCAGAACTTTCATCTTTTAAGCACCTTTAAGCAACTCTCTCCTTGACCTTATTTTCCTGAACAAGTGTCCAGTTTAGAATAATATCAATATATACTTATCGCTGGTATTGAATATTTCAGTTAAAAATCCCATCCACCAATGCTCAGTTTCCGAAACAGGGAAAGGCTCTGTCACTCCCTGTAGGTATATACCACAAAGCACACAAAGAGCCTGCTCCTCTGAGGTTTTACTTACCCTGATCCCAGTGCCATTGTCTTGGATCTGAATTAACTTGAGGCCTCCCTCTTTAACAACCACTTGGATACTGGTGGATTTTGCATCTAAACTGTCAAATTAAAAAGAAAAAAATTTTATTACTCTGTAACTATTCTAATGTACATATTTTAATATGAGCTAAAGTATAAGAACAAATTCCAAAGACATACAAGACTGTCTGATTAGTGTGTTTTTCCTCTGTTCTACGGGCTCTGTGACTACACTGTAACAAGTTCACATGCTGTGTGAGAGAGGCGAAAGAGAGAGGCAGGAGGGGGCAATCATCATTTTCAATAAGACATTCAACACTTTATTTCTGTTCCTCTGGGAAAGAAAGTGAAGTTAAAAGTAGGATCCTTTTACTACATGCCTATTTCTTATTCTCTTCTCAACTAATTTTGCCATTTATTCAAATTTATTCAGTCTCGGGTTCCCAAGTGACCCTAATAAGATGCCATTTCAAAAAAATTATAAATGTGTTTTTCTACTATTTACTCCCTTTTAAGAAAATACATTTTGCTGGGAAAAAGAAAGAAAGAAAAAAGGCAACGCAGAAAGTTCTTTGAGAAGCCAAGAAATCTTTTGTCCTTACAAAGAGTAGCCAACCATCACAGAGAGCAGGGGCTAAAGAAAACAAATTCTGCCTGTGGCTGCATGAAAAAGAAAAGTAATCGGCCCCTCACACAGAAAATTCTTCCTTCAAAAATAAGACAGTAAGTTACTCAATACTAAATAAAGACCTTTCTCAGAAGCCCTTGAAGTTGTATTAGCCATCTTGATTTACATATTAAAAAGAGCATAACTGGACTCCACATATTAAAAAGAGCATAACTGGGCGCCTGGGTGGCTCAGTGGGTTAAGCCGCTGCCTTCGGCTCAGGTCATGATATCAGGGTCCTGGGATCGAGTCCCGCGTCTGGCTCGCTGCTCAGCAGGGAGCCTGCTTCCCTTCCTCTCTCTCTGCCTGCCTCTCTGCCTACTTGTGATCTCTGTCTGCCAAATAAATAAATAAAATCTTTAAAAAAAAAAAAAGAGCATAACTGGACTCCACACAAAATCCCTGCTCTTAGAACTTATTATAAACCACTTAGCTAACATGTTCAGTTTGGTGGTGCAGTAGTCTGGCTCATTACCGTAACAGGCCCAGGTTGTTCTGTTGGTGAATTCTAACATTGTAGAAACAAAAGCCAGCCTTTACAATAGGGGAAAGGAGAAACCCTTCCCAGGTTCCCAGCTCCTGCTTTTCTCCTAGTTCTGTTCCTGTCCCTCAGTGATCCCTTCTGCACCGTTCCTTTAGTCCCATTACCCTGAGTGGTTGTTTATTATGTTTTCACAATCAGCCTCCTTACCAACCCACCACTCTTAGCTGGGTCATTTTGTTCTTTTCGCGAATTTATTTTATGAACAACAATTGATTTAAACTCGAAGGTAATGCTTAGGTATATCGTGAGCATGTCTTTCTGAAGTTTACGGTTTACTCCCACCTTTCTTTCCAGGTTTTTAAGTCTTCCTTCCACACTGTGTGACACTTCTAAATTTCAGCATCCACGGGATACCCTCATGAAATCAGGTATCCTCAATGTGACTGACAGCCCCGCCCACCAAAAAAAGGCAAAGGGGAGGAAAACCCTACGTTGGCAATAGGGCAATCATAAGTTAAATCCGAAGTCCATCGGCCTGTCTAAAATCTAGACAATCTGTAATAAAAATCAAAGTGTACTCTTGAATGTGCATGGGTTATTTTTGGAATATGCAAGATACATTAACACGCATAACACGGCATCCTCTGAAGTATGAATGGAGACGGTCCCCCCGAAAATGTTTATGCATTTAAAATTCTGTACGTTCTGTACATGTAATTCTAAAAGCAGTTCCCTTAACTAATGGCGCCGCTCAACAATACAATGTAGCCCTCCACTTGGTACCCGCCTCCCTCCAACAACCCTACTAAGGTCTCGCGAGAGCGCACAAAAACTGGCAGTACTCGGGCAGGGAATAGAAATGACCCCCAGGCCCTCCGCGCCGCGGGCATGCGCTGTACACGCCTCCGCCAGGGGCAGGGAGGCGTGTCCGCGTGCCATCCTGAAGAGGGGCCTGTTAAATCGTGGCAGATAAGGAAGCCCGGCTCCACTCCCTCCCTACCAGTTCTCAATCATCTCCTTGATGGCATTAGCCGGCCGCTGGATAACTTCCCCTGCCGCGATGCGGTTCACCACTGTCTCGTCCAACCGCCGAATAACCCCCGCTACGAGCGACATTTTGGCGCCACAGGAGCCTAAGACACGTCGAGATGCTCACCGGAAGTGCCTTCAGCCAATCACCTCAGGGCTTCGTGCCCACGTCTTTCCACCCTCTCTGTTTACGCGGTCTTGTCCCACCTTCTCGCGGCAGAGGCTTCGGAACCAGGGAGCTATTGATTGGGCAGCTGGATGCCAGTCAAGTTTCTTAAGTCCGCGGGTTCCTGGGTCTCTTGGTCCCTCCCTAGCGCACAGCTTCAGGCCACTGGTTAGTAGGGTGTGCGCCTGCGCACTTCCCGCGCTTCCCATTGGCTCTTCCCTGGGCTAGGGAATACGAAATCTCCAGCCAATAGGAATGCAGGTGGCGTAGCCGGAGGTTGGTGTACCCCTGCTGGGGTGATTTGGCGCAGAGCGGAGGAGGTGCTTGCTCCTGCTTCTGCTCCTCCCCTCTCCTTGCGGCCTCCCGGAGGTCGGCCCTGTTCTTGTGGCCTGAAGTAGGATGTGGATGACGCCCAAGAGGAGCAAAATGGAAGTCGACGAATCTCGGGTTTTCCGGGCCGAGTGGACCCAGCGTTACTTGGTGGTGGAGCCTCCGGAGGGCGAAGGGGCCCTGTGCCTGGTCTGTCGCCGCCTCGTCGTAGCCACCCGCGAACGCGACGTCAGGCGCCACTACGAGGCCGAGCACGACTACTACGAGCGGTATGTGGCGGAGGGCGAGCGCGCGGCCCTAGTGGAGCGTCTGCGGCAGGGCGACTTGCCCGTGGTCGTCCCGCTCACTCCTGAGGAGAGAGCTGCTCGTGCAGGCCTCGGGCTCGCCCGCCTCTTGGCCTTGAAGGGTCGCGGCTGGGGTGAGGGGGACTTTGTGTACCAGTGCATGGAGGTGATGCTGAGGGATGCTCTGCCCGAACACGTAAGCGTTCTGGATGGCATTGATTTATCGCCAGAGGTCACGCGGCAGAGGGTCCTGAACATTAACAAGAATCTACGCAGTCAGCTCTTTGACAGAGCCAAGGACTTTAAAGCCTATTCCCTTGCCTTGGACGACCAGGCCTTTGTGGCCTATGAGAACTATCTCCTGGTCTTTGTCCGCGGCGTGGGCCAGGACTTGGAGGTGCAGGAAGAGCTTCTGACCATTATCAACCTGACTCGTCACTTCAGTGTTGGTGCCCTTATGGCGGCAATCCTTGAGGCCCTGCAAACAGCAGGGCTTAGCTTGCAGCGAATGGTTGGCCTAACCACGACCCACACTCTGAGGATGATTGGTGAGAACTCAGGGCTAGTGTCCTACATGAGGGAAAAGGCTGTAAGCCCCAACTGTTGGAATGTTATCCATTATTCAGGATTTCTGCACTTGGAACTCTTGAGCTCCTACGATGTAGACGTTAATCAGATCATAAATACTATATCAGAATGGATAGTTTTAATTAAGACCAGAGGCGTTAGGCGCCCGGAATTTCAGGCGTTACTAACCGAATCTGAATCAGAGCATGGCGAAAGGGTTAATGGACGATGTCTCAACAATTGGCTTAGAAGAGGGAAAACTTTAAAATTAATATTTTCCCTGAGAAAAGAGATAGAAGCGTTCTTAGTTTCAATAGGGGCGACAACGGTCCATTTCACAGACAAGCAATGGCTGTGTGACTTTGGCTTCTTGGTGGATATTATGGACCACCTTCGAGAACTCAGTGAACTATTGAGAGTCAGTAAAGTCTTTGCTGCTGCTGCCTTTGACCATATCTGTACCTTTGAAGTGAAGCTGAATTTACTGCAGAGACATATTGAGGAGAAAAATCTAACACACTTTGCTGCCTTCAGAGAAGTTGTTGATGAGCTTAAACAGCATCTTAAAGAAGATCAAAAAATATTTGATCCTGATAGGTATCAAGTGGTGATCTGTCGCCTACAGAAAGAATTTGAGAGACATTTCAAGGACCTCAGGTTCATTAAAAAGGACTTAGAACTTTTCGCAAATCCTTTTAACTTTAAACCTGAATATGCGCCTATTTCAGTAAGAGTGGAGCTAACAAAACTTCAGGCGAATACTAACCTTTGGAATGAATACAGAGTCAAAGACTTGGGGCAGTTCTATGCTGGATTGTCTGCTGAATCTTACCCAATTATCAAAGGGGTTGCCTGTAAGGTGGCATCCTTGTTTGATAGTAACGAAATCTGCGAAAAGGCTTTTTCATATTTGACTCGAAACCAACACACTTTGAGCCAGCCATTGACAGATGAGCATCTCCACGCCCTGTTTAGGATTGCCACAACTGAAATAGAGCCACACTGGGATGACCTTGTGAGAGGAAGAAATGAATCCAATCCATAAGCCTTGGTAATACAACATCAAGACACCCAAAAGAGAATCTCATTCTAAAAGCAAACATTTGTCTGATTTTTCAAGTTAACTAATTTGGATTGTGTCAAAGCACCAAGTTTATTCATCCAAATTGATCACGATTCAGATTCTTCTGACAGATGTTTTTATCATCTCAAGAGGCAGCATGGGACTGAGACATGCAAACACCTTTTTTAAAATTTAATTTAATGACAGAGTCATTGTCTTTTGCTTTTATGATATAATTGTTTTTAAAGAAGTTCAGTACTGATAATGTGAGTTGAATTAGAAGTCTGTTTTTCAGATGTTTTAAAGAAATTTTAGGTTTTAACAAAGTGTTTAAATTCTGATACATATGGTCTGAAGTTATCAACTCCTTAAATATATGTTTGAGCCAGTTTGCAGAAACTCAGGAAGTTCAGAAGTTTCTGAGAAGGAAGAACGTACAGTGGAGGTATTTTGTCTATCAAAATGTTGAAGACTATTTTTTTTAAACTTTTCTGAGTCTGAAATCAATACTGACAGATGTCCTTTCACCCCCCCCCAACCTGCCCTAGCGATATTATTACTAGTAGAAAAAAATAATCATACAAAATTTTAGTCAAAGGAATAAGAATTATTTTTAAATTGCTGGTTTAGGAGGCTTCCTGCATTTTGGAGATCAGACTATCCAGCTATTGGGGGTCTCCCCTGAATTTTTCACAGTTGGGTGCTGTTTTATCAGATTGCCTATTAAAGGACTGCGGTAAGTATAGAATCTTAATGGTTTCCCATTAGTAATTCTTTATTCTACTCCAGACAGAAGTTTAGCCCTGTCAAAAAAAAAAGGATGACAGAATAAGATTATTGCCCTCCAGGATCAGGAGGTGTGAGATATTTTAGCTTATGCACGGGTGTTCCTGCTTTATAAAGAAATCCTGTTTAAAGGAATCCTTTTATTTTAAAGTGATATGATGTCAGATTGTGTTAGCTGCTGGAAGTGGCTTTATTATAGAATTTAAAACTGCCCCACACATTCTATATGTAAGATAGCGCACAAGTAGAAATATTTAATTCTCAAGAAGCAGCTATATTAACAGATTGTAGCAATTCCGTATTTCTAGTGAGACATCAGCTTTGTGCAAAAACAGTGCTTTTCAAACTTAGGTTAACCATGAAAAGGAAATCGTACAGTAAAGCCAAATATATAAAATGATTTAAAAGCGGGACCCAACTTAGAGGTCCTCTCAAGTACAGTTTGCAAACTTGTGCTAAAGTCCTGTCTTAACATTGTAACACGTTATTCTTGGTCACTAATCCAGCAAATTCATGGAACCAGGATATAACCAACAATTTAGAAGGAACTGATGCCCGAGCAATCAAAAGGGATGCCATGAGAGCTCAGGAACCATAGTGGTGTCAGTGGTTCTCGACCAGAAGCAGTAACCTCTCTTTCCAGAGGTTGTTAGAAAACAGGACATTTTTGGTCATTGGACTTACCTGGGGGAATTCTGCTGGCATTTAAGCATGAAGAACATCTCCCCCTCCTCTGCCTCCCCCCGCCCCCCTGCAGTGCATAGGACAGCTGGGCACAATAGAATATTAGTCTTCCTAAAGTGCCAGTAGATCCCCTGTTGTAGATTATTTTATTCTGAGGAACAGGGCAAATTACCGGTAGAAGCAGAATGAGAAAGGCCAAGTCAGGCAGACTGACACTACTCCATAGGGTAGACTCATTCCAGTGTTGCAGGTTTGGCTGGTAAGGTGAGGTAAAGGCCTTGATAGATTCTGGTAGCTCAGTAGCATTTTAAGTCAGTAGCTTATATGAAACCAGACTAAAGGACTCTATTCTGTTAAACAGAATTAGTGCAGAAAACAAGTATTAACAAGCTAGTAATCGAGAATGGTCAAGTTGAGATTTTCAGTGAACAGGGAGTAAGCTTAAATATCTGGAAAAACAACAATGAAAAACCAACCCTCCCCCCCAAAATCTACCGGTAATTTGCCAGCAGTTGGAGTTTTCTCTTTCATGGCAAGTGCTTTTTTGAAAGAATGTTTGGAGGACTTGCTTCTGCTTTCCTACCCTAGTTCCTAAAAATACTGAAGTCTTGTACATTTTGTGAAGTTCCACTATATATTTTGCTTAAGGTAATAAAACTAGTTTGCCTCATGTAGTCACTGAGTTGGGAGGAGATAAAAGCTAAGGATTTAACACTGACCCTAAATAATAGAGAATTTGCTATAAACTAGTCTTGTTTGTAAAAAAGAAAAATGTGTGTATATTACTGTTTTCTGTATTAAGTAATTCTGTAACTGCATGGCAGTCTTTAAATTTTTTTTTTTTTATTTACAAAATAGTTGTTACTGGTCCTGTCGTATTAGTGAATATAGTTAAAATAAGTACTATTTTTTAAAAACCTTGTGTCCCTATATCTCCCTTTCCTAGTAGTTTTCTTAAAAGATTTGTCTGTATTCCCGGTCTCTCAGTGCCACCCCAACTGCTCTCCCCAGCTAGATCCTTGGCAGTATTCTTACCCTCTTTGACACCACTGACTGCTCTTCCTTGAAGTGCTTACATATGTTGGCTTCAGGGGTAGATTGTCTCTGCAGGTATGCTTTCTCAGTCTGCTTCGTAGGTGCACCCCTTTCCCTTACATGTTTGTGTTCTTGTGATTTCAAAATTTTGTTGTAGAGCTATTTTCTACATCGTCTTAGCTGCTCTCATCCCTGTCCATGGCTTCATTTACCATCTGTATGCAGATGACCCCCACATTCTGTCTCCTTTCTAGGCCTTTCCTAATACATGTATCTATCTAACTGCCAACTTAAGTCACTCTGCTGTCTCGTGGACACCATAGTATGTCATTGATCTTGCCACCAAACCTGCTCTTCTTCTGTTGCCTCTTTCAGTAGATGGCACTGCTGCTACCAGTTGCCGTAGCCCAAGCCAAAAACTAATCTATCCATGACCTTCATCATATCCATTTGTGAAAACCTTTGTGTTAGGTCTACTGTCTCAAGTTTTTCTCATTTTTCCAGTGCTACCATTCTAATTCAGGCCATCAGCCAACCTAAATTGTAGCAACAGCATCCTTGTTAGTCTCTTTTTCTCTGGTTTTGAACATTTTTTTTATGCTGCAGCCAGATGGTTCCAAAAGACATACCTGGTCATCTCTCTCCACCGCTTTCACCATGACATAGGATAAAGATACAATTTCTGTTTATCTTTGAGTTCTCAGTTTAAATACCACTTCCTCTAGGAAGTCTTTACTGATGCCCTCTAGACTAGCTGCCCCCACTGTGCACTCTCTAAATGCCCTTTTCCTTTCCCAGCCATACACTTGGCACATTTTGTTGCTACTTCTTACCGATCACTGCTAGACTGTAAGCTTTACCAGGGCAGGGACTGTGCCTTGCTAGTTATTCTGTCTGTAGTGCTTAGCACAGTGCCTGGCATTCCAATAAATGTTTGGATGAATAAATATGTGTGTAGTGTTTTATGATCTTTGAAGCCCATTCATAGTCTCATTTGACCTTCACCAAGGTCTTCCTGCCTTAGCCTGCTTGTTGGGTAATTGTTATTCACATATTACGAACTAAGAAATGAAACTAAGTTCTTTGTGACTAAGGAATTGTATTCCCAGAATTTAGCTCAGTGCTTGGCATGTGGCTCAAATATTTATTATGTGAATGTTGTTGGGGAAACGAACTTAGATTGCAATTTGCCCTAGTAAATGTAAGTAGTAAAGCCAGGATTCAAACCCAGGTGTACTTACATAAATCTATGGAATAGTAAGTCTTTATCTCCTTTACTTGGAAGTCTTAATTTCATTTCTTTGTGGTTTTTTTTCCTTTTTCTTTTTTTTTTCTAGCTTCCAAAAGAACCTAGATGAAAAACAGTGGTCAACTATTTAGTGGACTAAAACAATACTTTGGTAATTAAAAAGTTACACTCAGTATCAGAAAAAGATAATGCCATTTAAAATACTCATTTTCCTTTTGTAAAATATTAATCCTAGAAGAAAATGGCATACTATTTACTTGCTACTTTCCTTTACAGATGATTTCTGGCTCTTCTGGGATTTAAAAGTAAGTAAATTTAATAAACTATTAGAGGAATGGCTCTGTCTTCCTGATTCCTAGATACCCAGTTCTCTTGCTTTTCTTGCCTAAAGATGTCCTTATCTCTTTTCTAAAGAAGATGACCCAAAAATGACATGTAGTCAAGGTGTACTTCTTAGATGTGCTGTGTTTCTTTCCTGGCTTGTTCACGTGCCTCTGAACTTAATTTCTGGGTAACCAGCTTTTGGGATTCGTGGAAGAACTATACCCATAGTCTTTTTCCTTGAGCCATTTTGTCCAATTTGAGGGATTAACCAGTGTTACACTAAATTGGACTTTTGGTCTGAGGCACATTAACTTATCCAGAAATCTTAACCAACTGAGCCACCCAGGTGTCCCAACTTATCCAGAAATCTTAACAGCAGGTGTGATAGTCATCCAGTGATCCTTGCTGCAAAACTGGGTTTTAATGGATTTCTTTACTCCTCTAGATTAAAGAATTTCTCATTTTTATCTTTTCATAATTGAGAAGTGGTTTCATCCTGTCCAATATATACTCGAATTTGTGAATTCTACCCCTTTCATTTCTGCTTGCAAATTGATGAATTCTGAGATAATTTCTTTCTTACACATTTCGTCAGATGCAGCCACAGCAACCATAAGACATTTTGTTTTACTTTTCCCCACTCCCACTTTAGTAAAGGATGGATTCTGTGCCTTCTAGGCTTTCCCAAGAGATCGTTTCACCGCTCCATAACATGAGTTGCCCCCATAAGTTATTTCTTCCATCCTCCAATAGCAATTTCCTGAATGCCTACCAGCTAAGCCAGTGTGTAGTATTTTGAGTTTTTTAAAAGTGGAGCCAATTTCTGTATCAGGATAGGCGAGGTTGTCATACAGTAACAACAGCAAAATCTCAATGCCTCGGGAACTCTTCTCTTGCAACTTGGCTAGGGACTTTGCTCAATAGGGGTCAGGGTCAACAAACTACAGTCCACAGGCAAAATCCATCCTGCTGCCTGTTTCTATAAATAAAGTTCTATTGGAAGATAGCCTTGCCCACTTAATTTATGTCTGTGGCTGCTTTTGCTCTATAATGGCAGAATGGAATAGCTGTGAGAAAGAGTGTGTACGACGCACAAAGTCTAAAATAATTTGCTGTGTGACCCCACAGAAAATGCTCACCGATCCCTGCTCAAAGTTGTTCTCATTTTGGGACTCAAGTTAATGAGATACCATGTACGGTGTGGGTGCTCATTTTGGGAAATGAAAAAAAAATGCAGCAAATCACTTAGAGGCCTGTAAAGCACTTCACTGCCCGAAACAAATCCCATGGCCACACCAAAGTTCCATGAAGACTGTAATCCTTCCATGTGCCTCAGAAGAAAACCAGGAATACTTGGAAGACGACACTAGATCAACACATGGTTATATCTCTCCATTTATCTGATTTCTTTAAAAATATTTTTTATTGAGGTAACATATTCAGTAAAGTGTGTAAATATTAAACGTATGCCTCAGTGGATTTTTATATACACCCTGAA